GGATGGAATCGATCTTCTCTGTAAGGAACATCCTTTCCCCAGATTGTTTCATAGCTACGCTGGATTTGAGGGATGCATATATCTTCACATTCCCATTCAACATGCGTATCAGAAATACCTAAGAATAGCGGTAAGGATGGGTTCAGAGATCCGCCACTGGCAGTGTTTGGCTCTACCTTTTGGTCTGGCCTCAGCACCAAGAATTTTTATGAAGGTGCTCGCGAGGGCCTTAGCTCCCCTAAGAATGAGGTCTATTACAATTGTTCCCTATCTGGACGATCTCCTCTTCATGGCCAGGTCACACAAACAGTTGACAAAGGATCTGCGTGTTGCTCAGGACTTCCTTCAGAGTCTGGGGTGGCTCGTATACAGGGATAAGTCATGCTTAACTCCCTCTCCAGAGAGTTACCTATGTGGGGTACAAGATTTCCTTGGTAGAGAGAAAGATCTTCCTTCCAAGAGAAAAGTTTCTTAGGATAGGTCAGGTGATGGCAGGGTTGCAGAGCAGTTTGTCCACGACAATAAGGGATATCATGAGGGCAGTGGGTCTCATGACATCATGTTTCCCATCTGTCTCCTGGGCAAGATTCCACCATCGGCCACTGCAGGCATTTCTTCTGAGAGTTTGGAATGGGGACAGATCTGCGTTGGATCTGGCAATCTGGCTCCCGTCCAGGGTCAAGAGATCCCTTTGGTGGTAGCTGAAGCAAGCCAATCTGGAACACACCTTGTCCGGTTATCATTACGACCAATGCCAGCAGCTTTGATTGGGGAGCCCATCTAGGTGACAGAGCGGCCCAGGGGTCGTGGTCCATGGAGGAAGCTCAGAGATCCTCGAATCAGAGAGAACCTCTGGCAGTCCAGCGAGCGTTGGATGACTTTTAGGCAGAACTAATAGATTGTCACCTGCAGATCCGTTCAGACAATATGGCTATGGTGGCATACATCAACAAGCAGGGGGGTACACAAAGCCCTCCTCTTCAAGCAGTCTGTCTTGGGCCGAGCAAAATTTGCTTTCAATATCTGCCATCCATCTGAAAGGAGCGCAGAATTCCCTAGCAGACTTCTTAAGTCGGCATCCAGTCAAACACAGTGAATGGTCTCTCAACCAGGCAGTGTTTGCGACCATCACTCTCAGGTGGGGCATGCTGGAGGCTGATCTCTTTGCTTCCCAGGAAAACAGGAAAGTCAGACAGTTCTCCCTAAATCCGCAAGATCAAGCTTTGGGTGTAGATGCATTCACGAGCACGTGGTAGTTCAATCTCTGTTATGCGTTTCCTCCAGTGAGGCTGATCCCAGCAGTCCTGCAGAAGTTTCTGTTAGAAAAGACAAACCTCATTCTGGTGGCCCAGTTTTGGCCGAAGAGGCCATGGTTTTCTCTGCTGTGGAGCCTGGCCTCTGTTCCCCCATTCCCCCTTCCATAGAGGGAAGATCTGGTCTCTCAGGGTCCGGTGCTACATCCTCCGGTAAGAACCTTGAGGTTGGCAGCGTGGCTACTGAACAACTCCTGAAAGCTCAGGGGTTTTCTGACTGAGTAATAAGGACTTTGGTGAACTGCCGCAAACCAGTTACCAGGGCTATTTATGCTAAGGTCTGGACAAAATTAAACTCTTGGTTGTTAGGTAAGGGTCGGAACCCTTTGGATATCCCGGCGGTGTTATATTTCTTCCAGGATGGGCAGATCAGGGTCTTTTGGTTAAAACTTTAAATGTGCAGGCCTCGACACTTAGTGGTTTCCTTCAGGTCCCCCTCCAGCAAGACCCCTTTATAACAGATTTTTTTTTAGGGCTCTTTCCAAGTCCAGGCTGGCAGCAGTCAGGTCCTGTCCAGTTTGGGATCTGTCTTTGGTTCTAAAAGCTTTCGTGCTTTGTCCCTTTGAACCTCTGGAGAAATCTTCAATAGCGTTTTTAGCTCTAAAAACTGTTTGTTTTTTTTTGGTAGCAATTACATCGGCCTATATGGTGAGTGAATTGCAGGTGCTTTCCATTTGGGAGCCCTTTTTGACAGTTTGAGGACAGAATTGTGCTCAAAACAGATCTTATGTTTCTTCCCAAGGTTTCCTCCTCCTTTTCATAGGTCTCAGGATATAATTTTGCCGACCTTCTGTTCTGCTCCCGCAAGCAAGGAGGAGGAAAGATTAAGTTTATTGGATGCCAAAAGGAGCCTTTTGGTCTATCTTAGTAGATCCAGAGAATTCAGAAATTCAGATTCTTTTTGTTCTTTTTGCAGGGGCACAGAAAGGTTCCAAGGCTTCCACACCCACCATAGCTAGATGGATTAGGATGGCTATCACGGAATCATATAATTTATTAGAAATTCAACCCCCATTTAATGCACACTCAACCAGATCCTTGTCAGCATCCTGGGCAGAGAGAGCCGGTGCCTTGCCAGAACAGATCTGTAAGGCGGCCACTTGGTCCAGCTTTTCTACTATCATGAAGCATTATCGCCAGGATCTGCCTTCTAGCAAAGATCAGGCACTTGGGCGCAAAGCCCTCCAGTTCCTAGCCCCGCCCCAGTGGGTAGGTACTTGATTATCGTATCAAGGGGGCTGTCCTGGAAGACGTTTTTTGAAAACCAGAGTTAGATTTACCGGTAACACCTTTTCTATACAGTCAGGTCCATAAATATTGGAACATCGACACAATTATAACATGTTTGGCTCTATACACCACCACAATGGATTTGAAATGAAACGAACAAGATGTGCTTTACTGCAGACTGTCAGCTTTAATTTGAGGGTATTTACATCCAAATCAGGTGAACGGTGTAGGAATTACAACAGTTTGCATATGTGCCTCCCACTTGTTAAGGGACCAAAAGTAATGGGACAATTGGCTTCTGAGCTGTTCCATGGCCAGGTGTGTGTTATTCCCTCATTATCCCAATTACAATGAGCAGATAAAAGGTCCAGAGTTCATTTCAAGTGTGCTATTTGCATTTGGAATCTGTTGCTGTCAACTCTCAAGATGAGATCCAAAGAGCTGTCACTATCAGTGAAGCAAGCCATCATTAGGCTGAAAAAACAAAACAAACCCATCAGAGAGATAGCAAAAACATTAGGCGTGGCCAAAACAACTGTTTGGAACATTCTTAAAAAGAAGGAACGCACAGGTGAGCTCAGCAACACCAAAAGACCCGGAAGACCACGGAAAACAACTGTGGTGGATGACAGAAGAATTCTTTCCCTGGTGAAGAAAACACCTTTCACAAAAGTTGGCCAGATCAAGAACACTCTCCAGGAGGTAGGTGTATGTGTGTCAAAGTCAACAATCAAGAGAAGACTTCACCAGAGTGAATACAGAGGGTTCACCACAAGATGGAAACCATTGGTGAGCCTCAAAAACAGGAAGGCCAGATTAGAGTTTGCCAAACGACATCTAAAAAAGCCTTCACAGTTCTGGAACAACATCCTATGGACAGATGAGACCAAGATCAACTTGTACCAGAGTGATGGGAAGAGAAGAGTATGGAGAAGGAAAGGAACTGCTCATGATCCTAAGCATACCACCTCATCAGTGAAGCATGGTGGTGGTAGTGTCATGGCGTGGGCATGTATGGCTGCCAATGGAACTGGTTCTCTTGTATTTATTGATGATGTGACTGCTGACAAAAGCAGCCGAATGAATTGTGAAGTGTTTCGGGCAATATTATCCGCTCATATTCAGCCAAATGCTTCACAACTCATTGGACGCCGCTTCACAGTGCAGATGGACAATGACCCAAAGCAGACTGCAAAAGCAACCAAAGAGTTTTTTAAGGGAAAGAAGTGGAATGTTATGCAATGGCCAAGTCAATTACCTGACCTGAATCCGATTGAGCATGCATTTCACTTGCTGAAGACAAAACTGAAGGGAAAATGCCCCAAGAACAAGCAGGAACTGAAGACAGTTGCAGTAGAGGCCTGGCAGAGCATCACCAGGGATGAAACCCAGCGTCTGGTGATGTCTATGCGTTCCAGACTTCAGGCTGTAATTGGCTGCAAAGGATTTGCAACCAAGTATTAAAAAGTGAAAGTTTGATTTATGATTATTATTCTGTCCCATTACTTTTGGTCCCTTAACAAGTGGGAGGCACATATGCAAACTGTTGTAATACCTACACCGTTCACCTGATTTGGATGTAAATACCCTCAAATTAAAGCTGACAGTCTGTAGTTAAAGCACATCTTGTTCGTTTCATTTCAAATCTATTGTGGTGGTGTATAGAGTCAAAAATGTTATAATTGTGTCGATGTCCCAATATTTATGGACCTGACTGTAAGTCTTCCAGGACAGGTGGGATTTCCCACCCTAACTTGTATGTTTCCTGTCCCGGAGTTCTATGTCTCAAGGTGGCTGTCCTGGAAGACTTATAGAAAAGGAGTTATCGGTAAGTCTGTTTGTTTTTTTTTTTTGCATCCAGAATGCACATAAAGTAGATTACATGGTTCGCACCAGTGCTTGCAGTTCCAATTTGTTCCATATCCAGAAAAAAAAGTAGACCATGCTGCATGTTCCCTGCACAGAACTGTACTGGATTGCTGTAAAATGCATCAAAAACGCACTGGATCCCAAATGACCCAAAAAAAAGGGAAAAAAAATAATCTGTAACCCATCAAAAATGCACCAAAATGGGTAAAAAAGTGTCAACATTGCGCATGCAGAAACGCATCCATACTGCATTTCTATGGTGTGTACGGCCCTAAAAGTGAATTTCACCCCAGGGAGTCACTCATTTACCTGAATTATTGACTTGTTACTGGTGTGTGGGAGATAATGATCAGCTGAGTATATTTCTGCTGCTAAACTTTAAAGAATAGTGGTGGAAGGGTCACTGAGATAAAGAATTACAACTTTTCTCTTGTTTTAAATGCTGTATGCTTGTTCTGAGTCTAACACAGAAGTTCTGACACACCCAGGAAACTAAAAGTTCCAGAAGGAGTAAAAAGGCCTTAAAATCCATAACAACTTATGAGAAAAAATATTAGCTTTTAACTCTTGTTTTGTATGTTTTTTCAGCTGGAAGTTGAAAATACTCGATTAAGGCGAATCAATCGTAGTCTTTCAGAAACACTTGAAACACGAACGGTAACGTCTGTGCTTTTGGAGGATGAAGGAGTTCTTGACAGCATAGAAAAAATCCTTCAGTAAATTCCATGCTTTCCTGGATCTTTTAAAAGACGCAGGGTAATTGTATAATGTGCTTTATAATACAGGCATCAGTTGGGTCTAATTATTTCACTGTGGAACGTTGATGCACTAGATTTGGTGTACAAGAATGATTGTCTATCTTTGTGTGCAGATTACCTTTCTCGTTCTAGACTTTCACCACTACTAATGGAATATTGTACCGACCACTGCCACCACTGGATGCAGATACAGAATCTGCTAGAATACATACGCTCTTATAAAGTCTGTGTTACTGCATATGTAATTACATTAATTGCTCTTTACACAATATAGTTGTTTTCACAGAATACCCACATCTGTCAAATTTTAAACCTTATTTTATCATTAATGGTAGCGGATGTTAACGGAGCTGACCATGTGCCAAATGGAATTTGTCAGCCCGACATACCTATGTAGTTGTTGCCACAGGCGTATCTAGCTTGAGGAAAACAAGGTGGCATTTATCAGGGGGGTGGTGTCGCCCCCCAGGCAAGTGGCATATTGTCCATGGGTGCAGGGTATTCACTGAACATGGGCCTCTGACATACATTGCACCCATGGATGATGCTATCAGGTGCTACAGCTACGGCAAGGGTTAAGTGTCTCCACATACAGTGTCTCCTTCCACACCTGCCACATCTCCTCCCGCGCCAGCCCTGCCCCCTTAGCTCAGTCTGAGCTTCTTCCCAGCGACTTGCTGTTCCCTGTCCTAAACAAATAACACATTTCCACCCTAAACAATAACCCCTCTCCACCCTAAACAATACCCCCCTCCTTGCCTCTCCACCCTAAACAATAACTTCCTCCCCACCTTAACCCCTTGGCGCTGGTGCCTCCCAGCCCTTTAAGGGTTTCAGAAGCCGGGAGGCGGGGCGGGGTTTTAGAGTCACGTGACAGAGAATCACGGCGGTCACATGATTGGGAAAGGTCCCAATCGGGACCTTTCCGTGAGTACCGGATGTGTTATGGGAGCTCGCAGGTTGCACGCTCTCAGCACATATGTTTTTCTTAATTGCACGCAAATGTGCAGCCGCTCGGCGTCAAGGCCCAGACGTCGGGAGGCCGCACATTTGCGTGCAGCCGGCACGAAGAGGTTAAACAATAACCCCTTTCTATGAAGGGGTGGAGTGCTAATATGAAGAGGTGGAGCCTAAAGAGGAAGAGGTGGGGTTTACAGGTGAAGGGGTGGATCTTAAACAGGAAGGGGTGGGACAAATTTAGATTGGGGGGGGACACCCGATTTTAGTCTTGCCTATGGCAGCACAAAACTAAAATACACAGCTGGTTGTTGCAGTGGAGGATCCTGAGGGGGGAGGGTACTGACTGACTTCAGGTGATTGTTTAGGCCTAGGCTCCGAATGGTGACATTATGATTTGTCCAATGATGCATCAAAATGAGTGGTATACTGTTGTTTTATATTGTTTTAGAACAGTAGTCTCATTTCCTGTATTGCCTTTTTATAAGGTGGCTGAAGTGGCCAGAGCTAACAGATTTGTTTAATCGACCCTGTCATTTACATTTATGCACCCCTGATGTATACATTCCACACTGCTATGTGGTTCTGCATACCTTCTAGTGTGTGTTTGTGTGAGCTTATAAGATCACCATTTTATTAACTTATATATTGAAGAATATATAAAACATTGAGAATTATAAATGGACTTTGTATTATGTTTGCTAGGGAGCTGTTTGCCAGGTAGTGCTTGGCTGCAATAACTTCATGAGAGAAATAACCCAGCCTGATACTTTTGTTTCTGACTCTGCCTGATTATGTTAATTGTTAGCTCTGCTGGATAATAGTGCTGTAGCCAGTTTACAGTGCACATCAGGTCTTCTGTGTAATCTATTTAAATGAATATTTAATGTGCCTAGTGGAAAATGCTACTAATACGAGGCCTGATCATCTACAGGCAATTGGCTGTTATACCTAATGTGGAAATTACTCTGAAAATGTGATCCCCTAGGACTGAAGTAAAAAAAAATGCATCCTCTTTTTTTCAGTGCATGGTTTTCTGCACTAAAAATTAAAACAAACAAAAAACTGCCCAAGCAAGTATCATTAACCTTTAAACTGCCTAGTATTTTTAACCTGATTCAAAAATGTAATTCTACTTTTGTTTGAACGCTAAGGGCCCACTTACACTACAACAACCCGCACCACAGTGCACACATTTACGTGCATTGAATAGTGCTACATTAGGCAGCCCATTTTAAAATTAATAAGCTGCAAAGAATTGAAAAATAAGGGTTGCTGTATTTTTTGCAGCACATCGCAGCTGTTGGGGGCTTTGGGGTGTCATTCAAAATGAATAGCACCTTCGTGAACCAATGCACCTATGGCCCCAATACAGCCACGGCCAAATGTTTTGAGAATGACACAAATATTAATTTTCACAAAGTCTGCTGCTTCTGTGTTTATAGATCTTCATGTCAAATGTTACTATGGTATACTGAAGTATAATTACAAGCATTTCATAAGTGTCAAAGGTTTGTATTGACAATTACATTAAGTTTCTGCAAAGAGTCAATATTTGTAGTGTTGACCCTTCTTTTTCAAGACTTCTGCAATTTGCCCTGGCATGCTGTCAATCAACTTCTGGGCTACATCCTGACTGATGGCAGCCCATTCTTGCATAGTCAATGCTTGTAATTTATCAGTTTTTGTGGGGGGGGGGGGGTTTTGTTCACTCGCCTCTTGAGGATTGAAATTTTGGGTCCATGGCCAGGAAACTCCCCAGACCTTAATCCCATTGAGAACTTGTGATCAATGTTTTTGTTCCCCAAGCCACTTAGTTATTACTTTTGCCTTATGGCAAGGTGCTCCATCATTCTGGAAGAGGCATTGTCCGTCACCAAACTGTTCTTAGATGGTTGGGAGAGGTTGCGCTCAGCAGATGTTTTTTTACCATTCTTTATTCATTGCTGTGTTCTTAGGCAAAATTGTAAGCAAGCCCACTCCCTTGACTGAGAAGCAACCCCACACATAAATGGTCTCAGGATGCTTTATTGTTGGCATGACACAGGACTGATTGTAGTGCTCATCTTTTTCTTCTCCAGACAAGGTTTTTTCTAGATACCTCATACAATTGGAAAGTGGATTCATCAGAGAAAATTACTTTACCCCATTCCTCAGCAGTCCAATCCTTGTACCTTTTGCAGAATATCAGTCTGTCCCTGCTGTTTTTCCTGGTGAGAAGTAACTTCTTTGCTGCCCATCCTCCAAAAGTCTTCGCCTCATTGTGCATACAGATGCACTCATACCTGCCTGCTGCCATTGCTGAGCTAGCTCTGCACTGGTGATGTCCCAATCCCGCAGCTGAATCAACTTTAGGAGACAGTCCTGGCGTTTTCTGGACTTTTTTGGGCAACCTGAAGCCTACTTCACAACAATTGAACCTTTCTCCTTCAAGTTCTTGATGAGCCGATAAATGGTTGACTTAGGTGCAATCTTAGTAGCAGCAATATCCTTGCCTGTGAATCCCTTTTTGTGCAAAGCAATGATGATTGCACGTGTTTGCTTGCAGGTAACCATGGTTAACAGAGAAAGAACAATGATTTCAAGCACCACTCTCCTCTTAAAGAATCCAGTCTGTTATTCTAAGGCTACGTTCACACTAGCCTTGTGTGCAGGCGGCAGAGAGGCGTTTGGGAAGCGTTTTTACCGCTTCCCAAACGCCTCTGCCAATTCTGCACATTACAGCACATGGTGCTGTTCTAACAGGAGCGTTTGCGTCGCGTCGCGGCAAAACGGACGCCTCTGGACGAGTCAGGAGGCTTTGAAGCCTCCTATTCTCGTCTATGGTGCCGCTCCGCAAACGCCCGGCCGGCGTTTGCGGTGCGGTTGCGGGGCGTTTGCGGAGCGGTAACACCACTCAAACTGCATTATAGGCGTTTGTGGGGCGTTATTAACGCTCGGCAAACGCCTAGCAACCGCCGCTAAACCGCGCATGCGGAGTTTGCGGAGCGTTTGCCGAGCGTTAAAAAACGCTCCGCAAACGCCGGACCAACGCTTGCCAAACGCTATAGGGGCGTTTGGCAAGCGTTGGCAAAACAGCCTAGTGTGAACGAGCCCTTACTCAGTCAGCATGACAAAGTGATCTCCAGCCTTGTCCTCATCAACACTGACACCTGTGTTAACGAGAGAATCACTGGCGTGATGTCAGCTGGTCCTTTTGTGGCAGGGTTGAAATGCAGTGAATTTTTTTTTTTTTTTTTTGGGATGAAGTTCATTTTCATGGCAAGGAGGGACTTTGCAATTAGGTGCAATTCATCTGATCACTCTTCATGACTTTCTGCAGTATATACAAATTGCTATCATAAAAACTGAGGCAGCAGACTTTGTGAAAATTATTATTTGTGTCATTCTCAAAACTTTCGGACAGGGCTGTACATAAGGGAAATACCTATACCAAAATGGTCAAACATTCTCATAGAAACACTCCTAAACCTTGTGGACAGCCTTCCCAAAAGACTTGAAGCTGTTATAGCTGCAAAGGGTGGGCCAACTCAATATTAAATCCTACAGATTAAGACTGGGATGCCATTAAAGTTCATGTGCATGTAAAGGCAGGTGTCCCAATACTTTTGGCAATATAGTGTATGTATGGTTAGTAACTCTGGTCCTTAAAGCATTAGTTTACCTTCACAGAAAAAAAAAAATTAAAAGGTGAACTAACACCATACTGGCTTCACAACCCCACCACCCACACCCCAGCTTCCCCAGGTCTCTGCTGTACTTACCTCCTTGGATACTGAGCTGTTAGTGCTCATACTGCCTGTGCAGTGGTCTGGGGTTTTGAAATCCACGTTCTTCTCCGTCTTCTCTGTGCAGCAGTTCTAGGACAAATCAGAGTGATACTTTGTGACAGAGCTGACCAATCAGAAATGCTCTGATCTGTCCCAGAAGCACTGCACAGAGAAAAGGGAGAAGAACGTGGATTTCAAGTACTTGGACTGCTGCACTGACTGTGTGGTTGCTGACAGCTCAGCATTCACAGAAGTACAGCATGTACCGGGGGGATGCGGAAGTTGTACAGTGTTAATTCCCCTTTCCATTTTTTCTTAAAGCCCTAGTTCACACTGATGTAACTTGTCATGTGATCTGACACTGTCAACTTGCATTACAAGTCATACCCTATGATCGGCAATGGAATCGTTTTAATCATTGAGACTCCGACTTGGTCGGAGTCACACCAATTTGTAAAGTAGTTCCTGCGCTACTTTTGCTGAATTCTGGTGTGACTTGTATGAAGTCGCACAGATGTCCTGCAAGTTGCACCTGAAGTCACACTGACGTGACTTTGAAATCATGCAACTTCAAGTGAAGTTGCACAATTTCAAATTCGTATTCAATGTGAACCAGAGCAAAAGGTTTAAAGTTATTATAATGAACTAATTGAAATAAAAACACTTGACCCCCTATGTAACATGAATATATTTATTAAACCTTAACACTTATTATGCTAACCTAATGCCTAACATTAATTCACCTCTGGAATCCCATATTTGCTTCAACAGACACCCGAGCTATTGCCACCAGAGATTCTGTCCTTCACTAAGATCTTAATGTTGAAAGCTGCTGATCTGCCAAAACTAAATCATATTTTATTTTCTGCTGTAAAATTTACACGGCTTGATTATGCTGATAGAAAATAAACTTTCTGTAAATGGTGATGTAGAAATCCGTAGGTTTGCATTTCTATCAATGGCTATGATCTTTTCAAACTATTGAGTGTTTGGATCAATAAAATGGAACTCCACACAAAAGCAACTGGCAGAGTAATTACAGCAGCCTTATACTTGCTGTTGCAGCTCAACATTAGGCAAACCTCACCTGCCATGGTGTGCGGTGGGCAGATCCTTGTGCTTGTAGGTGTTTGCTCTCATGTGGAATGTACTGTATAGAAGATTAAACAATATTTCTCTACTTCTACTGTCTCCTGTATACCAGGCACTTGCCCAGTCATCAAATAACTGGATCTCTCAGGTGTTTGGCACATCTGGAAAAGTCAGTGGCTGCCTGATCTGAAACAGGCGTTTGCCTGTTTGAATGTTGTAATACCAAACAGGAACGGTTTACTCTTACTGTATAATTTTCAAAACTTTCTGGTTTACTTGTAAAGCAGTTAAAGGACAGTCACTGTGCAGCACTACTTTGCATGAAGCAGAGCCTGCATATGGCTGCCCCATACAGATATATATATATATATATATATATATATATATATATATATATATTATACACACACACACACACACCTGTACACAGACATAAAGTTTTTTTTAACACTTATGCTGCCTATATTCCCATTTTTAACGCTTTTATCCTACTACTACACTACACTACTGCGACTGAGATTTGATCTGATTTTCAGTGCTATTATGTAGTGTGACTTGGTTGCATTTTAGATTTGTTTTGCATATTCTATGGGGCCAAGATGACACTGAAATTACACCAAAGTAGCACAGGACCCTTTTTCAAAATTACCATGTGCTCTGCTGCATTCATGTGAACAGGCACCATTGAAAACAATGTGATTTGCATTGACACACAATTCTGTGCCACTCAAGTCACATTTGAAATCGCATTGTGTGAACCAGGCCTAAACACGCTTTTAGAACTGTGCTCAATTTTTTTATATTTTTTGCCGGATTAACAAAAAAAATGGCTAAAATTTGACTTTAATGTCTGTCTTTCTATCTTTTTATTTTATCTCTTCTTCGTTCAAATCAGAGTTGCTGTTCAGCATAGAATTTACAATAGCAATAGTAAATTAATTCATATAGTGATTCATTTTTTGCTCATTGCATTCTAAAAATCCTTATTTGGTTTTTTCTATTCAGCTTAGGTCAGCTTGCCAGTATGGCAGGTATTGAACAGTCTGACTTTGCTCTGCCAGGAGATCCACAGCTGTCTTCTACAATTGGAAAAACCCAACCACCCTCCTCTGAAACCCACAATGACCTGCAAAAAACCTTCCTAGTTGATCAGGTAATTTGAAATTAGAATATCCATAGATGATGGCTGATAATTTCTTTCACTACGCTTTCCATAATTCTTACCCATCATTCTTTAGAAATTCTGGAAAAAAAAGCTCTAATCCTACTGCATTTAAACTGGCTACATGTGATCCTAATTGCAGATAAAACAGTAATTCTTTTGTTGCCCCCATCATATACTGAGAGTGAACCCTGACACATATTCAGTATGTCTTAAAGTGGAACTTCACTCTCGATCAACATTGACAATTTTTATTCCTTATGCTGCTAGAATTAGTAAATCGATAGGAAAGCATATCATATTTACTTGTTTAAAACTTTTTTTTTTTTTTTTTTTTACATTTCTTCAGTTGCTTCCTGATTTCCAGGCCTAGGCAAATTACATCATACATCCCAGGTGCCTTAGGGAGGGGAGGAGGGTTTTTTTCAGCTAAGCACACACTCCTGCCTGCATGTATGAGCTAAAGGCAGATGGATTCCAGGAAGAAAATGCTACATGAATCATATGCCCTTACTACTTTAATTCCTTATTCTGCTAGCATTAGTAAACAGATAGGAAAGCATATCATATTTACTTGGGGCACAGACAGCAATAAAAACTTGACAGGTGTTCTAATCCCTCTGCACTCTATCCAAAATGTAAAAAATGTTTTGCTTTAGTTAAACTTTATCTTTTTTTTTTTTTTGCTCATTTTTGTTTCATGGCTTAGAAACGGGATTTGGAAGATGCCCCCCCAAAACTTTCTGTAGAACCCTGTGTCATGACTGCAACAGCCTTTCCTCCTCCTGGTGAATCAGATGAAATTCATGCTAGCAGCTTGAAGAGCAAAGCGTTTGATCTTCCTATAAAGGATTTGGAGTCACACAAGAACAGCACGATTGCTTCTGAACAGCAGAATACAGATGGTTTAAAAAGAGCCTACCTGTCGGAAAAGAAAGGAGCTGGTAACGAGTGCTCAACATCAGATTCCAGCAAAAGCAAAAAGAGTAGTGCAAGTAAAAAATCCAAAGAATCATCTAGCGGAAAGGACAGAAGGCAATCTTCAAAAAGAAATCCTTCCGTGGGCTCATACAAGATTTGTTCTGAGGAAACTGGGCATCAAAACGGTCACAAAAGTTCACCTTTTTCTGATGTCAGCGTTCAAGAATCAGATATCCCAGAAAATCTTCACTCCAGCAGCAACAGCCACAGTGGTTTAGATTAAGCCACGAACCTTGACTTACAGTTTAATCCTCTTTCTTTTGCTGAATGTGTAACTAAAAATGAATGAGCCATGTTGAAATGTTGAAGATGTTCCCAGATTTGCTCCACACAGTTAAAATACTCTTCAAGAAAAAAAAAACAAAACCTGAAAATGACTGCTTTGAACAGCTGATAGAGTTGGCAAAATAAATTAAATTTGGCTGCGGAGTACATATTCAACTGACAATGTTTTGGAGTAATAAGACTACTAGATGGCTTTTGTTTTTTAAATGTGGCACAAGTCAAAGTGATTGTTTTCAGCAAACCTTTTTGATCTTCTTGTTTACGACTTGCCATTTTTATATTTTTGTAAACGTATTTGATCTAGTCCTGATTGGGAGGTAAATTGTATTTTTTTAAATATTTATTACTGTGGTTTATTACATATTTTTCTTGTAAATAAAATGATTTCTATATTTTGTCTGTGTTATCACATTATTGTAATTTTATTTTCAAATAAGTGTGGTTTAATTTGTTCATATAGCAATAACCTACCCAAAGGTTTCCCTTGTCCTCTCCACCACATATTGGGGTTGATTTACTAAAACTGGAGAGTGCAAAATCTGGTGCATGGTAGCCAATCAACTTCTAAATTCAGCTTGTTCAATTAAACTTTGACAAAAAACTTGAAAACGGATTGGTTTCTATGTAGATCTGCACCAAAATTTGCGCTAAAGTAAATCAACTCCATTGTAATGATACAATATGTAGACACCCCTCCACATTTTAGAGTTCAGGTGTTTGCAGTCAAGAGTACTGTTCACACTACAGCATGCAAAGAGAGGTCGCTGGCGGAGGACCCGAGAAGAGGAGGATCTGACTGCTCTGTGCAATACCATTGCACAGAGCAGGGAGGTGTCTCCAATTCTTTGTCTTCCAGATGGGAAACCTTGTCTGACTGGTGCAGAATCTGCAAAAAAAAAAGTGAGGAACAAAGCCCTCCATGGCTGCATGAGTTCTACGTGTATTCTTTCAGAGTTTTATTCTGAAGAACAGATTCCTATGAAGTACATTCAGTCCAGCTATTGTTTCCAGGAAACATACAGCGTATATTAACCTTTCCTTTGGGGGTCAAAACCATCTGGTAAGGGACAGTGTTTGGTGTTGGTAAAGGATCTTTCTCTCCGATGTTTTCCTGGACACTCATTGGATCCATGCTGTTTCTTTATTATTGGACTTTATATTATACATGTGGAATTTTTTGGATTGATTTTGTTTTAGGGTATATTATTTTTCAGTGCTGCACTTCTTATCTATTTATGAAAAGAAAGGTATTTTAAACAATTTAGCAACCGTCTACCTTTTACTTTGTGGCAACAGGTAAGGGATTTCTGTGTTCCAGTTTTACTATCCCCATTTGAGTTTGGTGTGTAGGATCCTTAGTGGCTTGCACAGACCTCAACCCTATTAAACAGCTTTGGGATGTATTAGAAATCAGATTGCAAGCTGGGTGTTCTCATCCAACACTAGTGCTGTACCTGACCTCACAAATGCTCTCTTTTTGACTCAATAGGCACAATTTTCCACAGACGCACTTCAAAAATCTTGTGAAAAGCTTCCCAGAAGACTAGAGGCTGGTATTGCCACAAAAGAGTGTCAGTGATGACTACTGTACATATAATTGGTCAGAGTTTTGGAATGGAAATGTCCACAAGCTCATATAGGTGTGATGGTCAGGTGTTGTCAGGGCTCCAGGTATGGCCAGAGGTGTGTGGACTGACACAGGGAAACGCAGGCTTCAGATATGGTATAAACAATATAATTTATTAAGACTAACAATACAAAACGCGGTGCAAGACTAAACATAAACACAGTGCAAACAAACCAAACCACCCACCGATAACAATACATACAATACAAAGAGTAGTCAGGCAGGCCGGGTCAGTAGCAAACGGGCAAACGGAGTACCAGGAACAGGCGGGAGAGTGGTCGGGGTCACAAGCTGGGTTCAGTAACTCACGTGCAGCGCAGGTACAGAGGGTCGGACAGAGAATGGTCAGGGTCACAAGCCAGGGATCAAGCAGGAGAAGTCAGCAGAGGTCAGGATCAGGCAGGGTCGGTAACAAGTCAGACAGGAACAGGAATACAGGATACAAGGTACAGGGGCCCATGGAAAAACACACGCCAAGGCCCTGACTGTGAGTCTGGCCATTCCTTAAATACAACCCCTGCAATCAGCTTCAGGTGTTTGGCTGATTGCAGGGGTGAGTCTCTGATTGCTGAGAGCACCCGCTGGCCAGCCCTGGTACTGCAGCCCACAAGGCAGGTGAGTCCCACCATTATTGGCAAGTCCATTCCTGACAGGTGTTCACAGACTTTTGGCATATAGTGTATATACTGACATCAGCACAGTCGCTTCCTTGTTTCAGACAGCAAGGTCTTTGTGGAGCTTGGCATTGTTTATATAGTTTATTTGTAGCTGGCAAGCTACAGTACTGATCTACAGGAAGCCCTTTGTAGTCTATGGAGTTTTTGGGGGGGTTTTATTTGTTTTGATTTTTTTGTAAAATCCATTCCACTTTAAAGTTAATTTTTGACCAGACATAAAAGATTTTCCTTTCTGGAGAAGATATATTGCATATAGAAACATGGAGGAATTCTCCCTTCTCACAGCATACATTTAGATAGTGGGTCTACTTTTTTGCTGTATCATAAATGTTTAGTGACTGCAGGCAGATTGGGATACAGTGGCCAGTTGAGATAATTGTTTTGTTTTTACACAGCCAAAATTATGTAATGCAGGTGAAATTGGTCTAATCTGACATTTCTGGGAAGAAAGGAGCACCTACATGTTTCCACACTAAGGGGTCCCATATAGATAGAGAAAGATAAACTTAATAGCCATTTTGTTTTAGCCTATGTCCAGAAAATAAGTCAACACGCAGGTAGATAAACATTGGGAGTATTTTGGCCATATGTAATGGGTGACAGAAAAGGCCTATGTTTGTATTAAACAATATTTTAAAAATGGAGCAGTGTATTTTAAGAAACCTGCCAGAATATCTGGGACTCAACCAATTGTATTCAAAACCAGTGAACAGTGGTTAACCATGAATGCACAATTTGGTTGCCAGGTGAATGTGTATATTTGTGTCTAGGGAAGGTTCCAGCTCTAGCTTGCTTCAAGTGGGAAAACAATATAGATAGGTCTCGTAAATGCAGTCAGACCAATGGACTGTTTCCTCAAGCAGGTTTGGAGAGGGCTGAACATTGCTTCAGGGGTTGGGGGAATCAATCAATCTCTTATCTAACTGTAGGAGTTGGATGAGCATTCTCCAATGTATTTTGAAACTCTCAATCTTTTTTAAAATTTCCATCTTACCAATTATACAGATATTCCTTAGCAAGCATTTTCCTTATAGACATCTAAATTTTAAAAAAAATGTAGCTTGAATCCAGCAGGCTAACCTGAAAAGTACATAGAGAAGGTTTCTTTTTTTCCTAGATAGCAGTTTTTGTGAATGGTTGAACTGTTTTATGCTTTCCGCAAAGTCTGCAACTCTGTACTGTATTTAAGTAATGTTTAACCTGTAGCTAAAGGTATAATAGAGTACTTGGTAGTTAGCGTTGAGAAAAAAAGCCAAGTGGAGTTCATTGAGGTCATGTCTGCGCACATACACCACACGTGGTTCTTCATATCCTAAGCATGTGATAAAGATGACATGAACAGAGACACTCCCAAGACCCATAAAACTAAGGAGCGCTCTGCCCTGCATTTAAACCACATGGTTCATCAAACCTCCCGGTGGTGAAGGAGAAATAACTACACATAAGGAATTTCTTACTTATGAAAATGTATTGCGATACATGATCCAGGCCTACATTTACTCCTCCACTGACACATTTCTCCCTGTTCTGCAATATGGTTATAGTCACTCCAGTACTATCTGTTATCAATCTATTACTATCACTTACTGGATGAAACACATAAGTAGTGGTCACAGGAGCATTAGCACCAGGTTTTGTCCTGAAAGTTAATGCAGAATCATAAAAACTGGCATTCAGATTAGAAGAAGGGCATGACAGGTGAGCAGTGGAGTGCTACAATTCTCAAAATCTTTCAATGGCTGGGATACTGGTGCTCTGCTGCATGTTGCTGAAGCCTAAAAAGTGCTAAATCCATGAAGAAGGCCAGCACAACAGTACATGGCAGTGAAATGTAGGCTTTATTAAGTACAATGGTAAACTGCAGCCAGAAAATGTCAATGCATTGAGTAAGGCCATAATGGCTGAAATGCATTGATGTTTGCTGGATGTATTTTACCTCTATCTAATAAAGCCTACATTCCACTGCCATGTACTATTGTGCCAACTTTCTTTGTAGAAGAGGGGTATACTCTGCCATGTTGCTATCTGTGATGACAGTGTAGGCAAGAATCTAGAGTCCACTTATACTAAGAATATTAAATACACTGCTCAAAAAAAAAAATTAAAAGGAACACTTTGAAAACACATCAGATTTCAATGGGGAAAAATATCATGGTGGATATCTATACTGATATGGACTGGGTAATGTGTTAAGAACGTAAGGATGCCCCATCTTTTGATGGAAATGAAAATGATCAACCTACAGAGGACTGAATTCAGACACCCCTAAAATCAAAATGAAAAAATGATGCAGCAGGCTAGTCCATGTTGCTGAAATTTCATTGCAGCAACTCAAAATGGTATTCAGTAGTTTGTATGGCCCCCCACGTGCTTGTATGCATGTCTGACAATGTCAAGGCATTCTCCTAATGAGACGACAGATGGTGTCCTGGGGTATTTCCTCCCAGATCTGGACCAGGGCATCACTGAGCTCCTTGATAGTCTGAGGTGCAATCTGGCGGCGTTGGATTGACCGAAAATGATATCCCAGAGGTGTTCTATTGGATTTAGATCAGGTGAGCACGAGGGCCATTAAATGGTATCAATTCCTTCATCCTCCAGGAGCTGCCTGCATACTCTCACCACATGAGGCTG